GAGGCACTTAAATAGACCTTAGTAGGGACAGATGAGAACTTGCAGACTTTATTCTTTTGTCCAGCACTGAGATTAGTTCTTATCATAGCTCAAGAAGGAAGCCTCTGAACTGAAAAGAAAAGATGGGAATAATTTAAAGTTCTTCTTAAGTTTGAAACTCTGATATTGCTGGAGGTGATGTGAATACCTGTGACCTTATGAAAGTTCAAACTTCATCTGCTCCCAGCTGACTGTACGTGCTGTTGTTCTTTGACAAACATGGACTGCTTGCAATTCCAAAAGGAGAGATTGAAAGAGATTAATGTTTATAATTCTCCACTTACTTATTAAACATCCCTATTTCTCCATCTTTAGTACCACCCCACCCCCAAGTTCCCCAAAATCACAAATCAAAAAAAATCCCAAACCAAACCACAAAAGCCTATTTTCATTTAGTTGGGTTTGGGGGGGTATTTTCTGAGGTGGATAATTTAATCTGTTACTCTTATTTTCAGTGTATTAGTTTCCTAGTATGTCAGTTAATGCAGCACAGGTATCTCATCTTTTGGATTTGAAGTTATTGAGATTACTCAAAGAACAAAGTTTGGTGTCATCTAAAAGGACGAGAAGAATATAATTCTTTGTTGATTCCCCCCTCCTTCCTTGCCATTTATGTAAATTAATGTTTTATGCTAGTAAGTGTGCATCAAATTACCTGACCTATACTTCAGTTTTGCCACTTCACCTATACCACTAAGTAAATGACAACAGCCCTGCAAATTTAGCCAGTTTGTCGCAGTGAAAGATGCGTATTTATCTGAGCTGAAACAGAATAAATAACTGCTACAAGCTCTGTTCTAAATGATAATCTTGTTCTTCTGGTCTACCTCCTCCTGTACTAGAGCCTTCGAAGGGAGAGGGGGGAAGAGTCATGTGTCTGACCAGTGTCCTGTATTCTTGTGCATATAAACTGCACCTCAGATAAATCGGTTCTGCCAGAGAACTGCTGTTCCTTGGAAATAAATCCTCAGATAATCACAAAACCAGAGGCACAAGGGTTGCTGAGGCAAAGAGAATAGTCTGCAGATGATCAGACACCGTGTTTTTGCATGAACCTGCACTGCTGTGGAATTGCTGGGTTTGCACGTGACCCACTAGTTATGGGAAAATTCAGTTGTTGGGCTTGTGAGACTTTCACATCTTGGTTCTGGCCCTGTGTGTAAGGGAGAACGGAAATGTTGCCCAGCCTAAGTTAAATGCTTTTGGTACTCTCGTCAACATTTTTTGTATTCCCCATCTTTTTTTGTGTAATGGTAACTGTGATTTTGGTTGTGCTTCTGAGATACAATTAATTTTGTCTAAGAGGTCCATGGTCCATGGCCTGTAGATACAAAAATGCAACATTGTGAATTGTCAAGCAAGTGGTTTTCCCCCTTGCCTTGCTTTTTTTCTGGAAGTAGCAACCTATTGGTATGTAATTAATGTCTTACTACAAACACATGTTTTTAATACTTTTTTTAACCAAAGGAAAAAAAATCTTATTCCCAGCTACTGTGCTTGCATAGTTTTGAGGCATTTCAGATTGGGTCCTGCTTCTGCCAAGGTTTCTACTCAAAGTTAATTTTATTCTTTGTGAATAATCCCACTGAAATACGTGATGTGGTCTAGAAATAGCTTGGTGCCTAAACCCTTGAAGGATTCTGGCTTTAGCCTTTTACCCTTTATTTCAAAGGGGTATAAACAACGTTTTTTTTTTTGTTTGTTTTGGGTTTTTTGGTTTGTTGTTTGTTTTTGTTTTGTTCTTTTTTTTTTTTTTTTTAATATAATTAATGATTATGGCCTGTCACTGGTATTTGGTTTTACAATTCCATGTAATTCATGCGATTTTTTTTTATTGCTTGTCTTAATTCTAGGTTGTAGTGAAGTGCCTAGATGATGGACAGGCACCGTATAAAGGTATTATACTGTATCATCTCTAGATGAATCATACATTGTGACAGTACTCTTAAGGAGAAATTTAGAGGTACAGGGTGCTGTCATACCTTCCATGGAGAACTACAAAAGCTACCAGAAGTGATGAATTTCAGGATATAGGAATATACTTTATTGCAAATATTTTATCTGGAATGCAAACTATGAACATCTTGTCTAGTCAAATCATTATTAGTAGTATTAGAAGTAGTAAGTGATATGCCACAGCTGGCAAAAGCACTTTATTTTTTATACTTTTGGAGCATGAAGAAGGATGAGAAGGTCTAGAAGTGTTTGGATATACTTGGGTTATGAGTGGGTCCTTATTTCGCATAGTAACAGATGAGCTTCACATTCTGGCTATGAATGGGGGCAAGAGAGAAAGCACAGGAACCAGGGAAGCAGAAGGGGAGCTGGGAGTGTCCTGTGTGTAAAAAATTGCAAGAAGTGACACATTTTCAGAAATGTGAAATATTAATATGGGTTTGCTTTTTCATTTCACACACACAAAAATAACCTTTCTTTCACAGTAATTAATGCTTCTCTTTTTTGCATATTGTCGATAGTCCTTCAAATTGACAGTAGTTAGATGTATGATTTGTAATTCTGGTAGATGCTGGACAGGAGAGTTTGCACCAAAAAAGTCAGAACGCTGCTTTGCATTCTAATATACACCTGAAAAACAAATTCATCTAAGATGTGGACACAGTGAGTGCTTTAGCTGGGTACACTGCAGGGAAGTGAAGATGAATATCCAACTGACATAACAATTGGTTCTGGACATTCTAAATAGGCTCTATAGCATTGAATTTTTCAGGAAAATAGCAATGTCAATATATTCTCAGATAGAGACCTGTCATAAACATATGTCTAGATGTGATGGGATGTATATTCTACATGGACCATTTGACTCTGGATAGAATTTTTAAAAAATGTGTTTGTTTTAAATTGACTTCTGGTTGGTTATTGTGTTTGCAAAGCTTCTTGAGTAGGAGGAGGGCCAAAGTCATCTGGTTGAAACCAACTGGCCTTCCTCGAGAAAGCTCTTCCATGCACATGCCAGAAATCCAATACGCCTACAAAGTAAGAAAGGTGGCATGCAAGCCGAGTATGGAATTCCTGTACTGAAGGACCTTGGTAGAACTAGCGGAGCAGTTGAAAATGAACAAGGTGGCGCTCCTTTATACAGGAGACTGGAAGGAGACAACAGCAGTAGGTTTCAGAAGGGTTCAGACATACTGCTGGTCTACAGCTCCACGTATAGATTCTAAAATGCTGAGGCAGGGATATGTGCCCTCTGACATGCCCGAAGCACCTATCCAAACCCTTCTGTGATCCTGGAGACAGGCGTAGTACAGCGGGGTGGCTGGGAGAAGAGGGACAGGCTCACACAGGCTTTCCATGATGAATATCTCTTTTTGCCACTGTCAGAGACAAACTTGGTTCTTAAACCGTTGCTCGTACATTTGCCACAGCTCAACAAGGGCCTCTCGGGTAGCGTGCTATCCTCAGAGCCCAGTCTGGTAACAGGCAGGCGGGAGCACGACTAAGCAAGAGCCTAAAAGGCTCATTTAAGGACAGTGTTCCCAGTAAGCGTTACCTGGCCAGATACCTATAGGTACCAACAACTGCACGTCAACTGCATCTTCCTCAAATGTTTCTCTGGGAGACCTAGTTTTGTTCCTAATTTACATTTTTGTTCTGGTTTACATCCAGACTGTGCTGCTAGAGTGGTATTTTATTTTGTTTAGCCTGTTATCCTTGAATTCTATAAACTATTGTATTTATGAGTCCATGCAGCTTGTTTCTAAAACATCAGAGTTTATACCGCTCAAACTCTGAGCTTCATTTGAAAATGTTGGTTGTTTTTAAAGTTTTGTTTCTGTGGGGTTGTTTGTTTGTTTGTTTGTTTGGTTTTTTTTGTGTTTTTTTTTGTTTGTTTGTTTGTTTTGTTTTGTTTTGTTTTTTTCTTTTCTATGAATTGTGGGTACAGTAGTGTTTCCGGTACATATTTGACTTTGGAAAACTGGATGTTAACTTAAAGCCCACATCAAATATTATCTAGATTGGAAATATGTTGCTACTTTTATATTTTCAGTGTGGTTTAGAATTTTAGAAACAAAACCAGATTACAAAAATAATTATTAAATATTTAACTCGCTGACTTCTAAGAGGTTATTTATATCTGAAATGTTTTTTAAAAAAAGTATCAAAATAGTGTTGCATACTCCAAACTGAAATCTTAGTTCAAGATTCATAGCAGCAACTTTTTCATATATGAAGGTTTTATACTCTTATTTAGGTAACTAATACAGCTATGTTTCTATTCCTCATTTTGTCAGAGTCAGTCAGTGAATGCCATGAATCTATGGTATGTAATATAGTTAATGCATAATATATATAGGCAATGAAAGGTCTTTGTCATATAGTTTAAGGTCACCATCATTAATTTTCAAATTATAAAAAGGGATTTGCTGTTTTGTGATCATCATTATTGCAATATAATGTGTTGTGGATTCTGTGTGCACATAGAATGAACTGCGATCTTAATTAGAACTTTGACAAGCCTACTCCAATAAAATGATGAGATTATTCATAATTGATGTCACAATCAATTACCAGTTAGTTCATCATGAATCTACTAACAGGTCTAGCCTTGGTGCTGGCCCCAGGATGTTGATGAGTGTGTGGCTGCCCTGTTCATGCTGTTACTGCGACAGGAGGGCAGATTTTCAGTCAACATCCTAATGACCTCTTTTGAAGTCTATTAAATTAATGACCCTGTCACAATGGTCTAACCTCTTACATCTTCATTTTGGATTTTTTGTTGCAAACTATTGGTTTTTGAGCACATGACAGAACAGATACTTTGCAGCATTCCTCGTCCCTCCAAATCTGGCACCATGTCTTACTAGATTCAATAAAAAATTAGTTCATTATACAGTATTGAAATAGTGAACACAGAAATCAGAAAACATATTGTAAGGCAAGCTATGTTTAATACCATTCTATTCTGTTTCTTTTTACATTTCAATCTTGCTTAATCACAGGTGCCTAAAGGACATGTTTGGTTAGAAGGTGATAATCTCAGGAATTCTACAGATTCCAGGTGCTATGGACCTGTTCCTTACGGACTGATAAGAGGACGCATTTGTTTTAAGGTATATATTTATAGTATCTGAAAATAGTAGCATTAATGCATTTTTTAATGCCTGGGTGTTGAGTATTAAAACTTGCCTCCTTAACTGTCGGGCCAAAGCAAATGTAAAGGAAAGCTTGAATGTACCAGCCACTTGCTGTAAAAGGGTAATTCAATAGCGGTGGGTTTTTTTTCAAGGGAGGACTTGTTTTTTGAACAGCACTCAGCAGTCACTGCCTCTGAAAACTCAAGTAATTATTTTGCAACCTGATAAAAACACAAACATACACACACACACACACGCACCCTACTGCATGGATATATGTTTCATCCTTAATTTGAATCTTGCTTCTGCAAAATGGTAGAGAAGGGCAGCTCCACACCTTACGGTTGTAATTTGACAAGTGTAGTTCCACAGTTCAAAAGCCAAACCGGAGGGAAAGGTTATCTTTCTAGGACTTGCATACATACTTTAGGCACGCAGACTGGCCTTACTGCTTTTTAAACGAAGACTGTGAAAATGCCTTAACAGTAAAGTCAGATCTGTGACACCATAATTGTCACTACATTTTTAATTTAAAAAAATGCTTTCAATTAATATTTTATTATATAAACCTCCATGCTTCCTCCTCCTTCTGTTTCAACAGTTCTACAGCTTTATTTTACACTAAATTACTTTTTCATATTATCTGCATTATTAATTTACTCATTTACCAAAAAAGAAACCAACACAATTTCCATAAAAAGTTTAATCTAAGACACAAGGGGGTATGTATTATAGACTTATGCACCAGCTTTTAGAAAGCTAGATTTAAAATGGTGCCATTTAGAACAATAAAAAAAGTTTTTGAAAACTGTTCTCCATATATTGCAACACACCCACAAAAATATAACTTAGCACAGCTGTATTACACAGAGGGAAGATTAGATCTTTCCACCTTAACAAAGTTTTACATACTTAATTTACAGTTTTTATGAACACAACTTGGACTTTTCAGAAGACCTTGCAGCTATTGTCCCTAATCACAAATTGTTTACTAAACCTCAAATAACACATCCCCCTCAGCCCCACCACCAAGTTTTGTCTGACCCCTGTTTTTTCTAGATAGCATTTGTTTTGAGTTCTTCCCTAGTGTTTACTGAGTGCTCTCATTTACTTCTCTCTATTGTTTGCCTTAACAGATGAAAAAATGCTGATTCTAAATAGGGCTATTTTTATGTCCCAAGTTTTAGCTTGGATTATTAACTGCTAAAATACAAATGATGCTAATATACTGACAGCCCTCTTTATAAGAATGTGGTATTCATAATCCAACTGAAAAAAACTTTCTCCAACTGATGTATTAATATAGAAAAATTGCTGTTTAGTACTTCAAGGTGACTGTTAGCAAATAATGTAGATATTAAGAACCTATGAATGTGGACATCAATAAATTATTCACAGTATCTCTCTACAGCAATAGATTTGTGTCCAGCTTGTACCCCAACAAGAAAGACGTTTGAGATACTTTAATGAAGTGACAGGACTGAACCCTAAATTGAGCAAGCAGTAAACTGTAAAATGAAAGGAATTTACACACAGATATTACATATTGAGGAAGTACTTTAGGACTCAAGAAAGCACCAAAGGTTCCTTCTGTGCTGTGGCTGTCCCAGGAACTCAGTTAAAGATTAAGTTGCTGTTCTGGAGGGTGACTTCATACCTTCCTTAAGATCACATTCTAAGGAAAAATGAACAAGATAAACATCATACTGACAGATGCTTTGGGAACAAGGTAGTGCATCATCTTTCTCTGTCTAGGTTGCTTCATCTTGAGCAGGGCCTGTAAGATTTTTATGTGATTAGAGCCACAGAGGGCATTCATTCTTCAGCACCATCTCTTTCCCCTCTTCCTGCTGATCCCCTTGTGCCATCTTTGAAAGAACGTGTTGCAAAGGTACACACGCAGTCAAGGGAGGCAAAGGACAAAGTGTAAAAGAATGTCCTTGATTCCCTATTATTATTTTTTTTTTTGCATTCAAGACCAGTCTACATGTAATTAGTGAATGTTCAGAGGAAAGTACTCCTGGGAGCATTCAGTCGTATGAACAGCTATATAGCTAATTTCTGGAGAGGAAGTTTTTTTCTTACTGGTGAGCATCATTCCCTGACACTTGTGCTTGTACTTGGTCATGATTTGTGCTCCTCCTTTTTCTACATAGTAGGCCCCTTCTCAGAGGAGCACCTTGCTTGAGAGCCCCTGACAGTGGCAGGCACTCCACCCCTTTATACCTATTGACACTGTATAAGCTTACCTCTAAGCCTATAGAATTTTCCTCCAGTGTTTGGTGTTTGCAATTCAAATGTCCATCTTGAAAATACAAACGTACACCTCACAGAACTACTTTCACTGGGACGTAATGTTCATGGTATTCTTTCTTCTCCTAGATGGACCAAAAATACATACTTTTGTCTCTTGAATTTGAAAGATATTTTCTAGGAATGTATTTATCTCCAAGGCTGAAAAAATAATGCAATTCATGAGGCTTCCTGTAGCAAAGCAGGCTGTGTATAAATTAGTGCTGTCTCCAGCCACTATGGAATGATGATTCCTCCTGACATTTAGTATTTATTACTCCTAGTAAAAGAAACATACAGGTGAGAAAAGTTCATATACCCTGTCAACCAAAGAGTTGAAAGATTATGGACTTTATGCACCAATTACAACAATAACAAATAAAAATACTGAACTTTGAGTTGTGATTAAAATCTCTTGTATCTTATTTTATAGATATGGCCTCTGAATGACTTTGGATTTCTACGTGCAAGCCCCAACGGCCATAGATTTCTTGATGATTAAAAGATTCAAGTGACTATTGTCAGCTTTCACAATATTTTCTACTAAAATTAATGGAACTATTTTTGTTTAGAATAAACACAAGTATTACTTGACAAAGATGTCTCTTTCTGAGATTACATCTAACTTGAGAGTGGGAATGATATATACTGCTGTCATCAACAAAAATGATATGCCTCTTTGTTTCCTCTGGCTATTCACAGTAAGTACTTGGATTGAGTAGAAAGTTTTGGTTTTTTTATGACAAGCCAAGGTTAGCATTGACTGTTAACAAGGGATGAAAAAGGCACAATGCAGTATTATGTTGTCACACATCCAGAGCCACAGATTGGTTATACCTACATTAGCAAGTAGTGAGGCATGCTAGGATTGGGACTGGAAACAGTACCACTGGGGTGGGTTCCCACTGTGTTTTGTTGGGTTTTCCTTAAAGTGGCTCCAGTCTGGCCCAGTGATGTGTATGCCCAGGAGGGGTCAGAGCACAGCTTCCTGGTTAGTCTTCATCCAAGGAATGAAGACTGCATTTGTTTAGATGAGAAAGAATCAATTCAAAATGTGTTTCTGCTCCAAGCTGTAAGTCCCATGCACAGGCCCTGGACCTGCTATTCTGTACCGAGACAACCACCCTATTAGAGCTGCAAGTCTCTACCACCTCTTTCCAAGGCTCATGTCCTTGTGAGGATTTAATGAAGTTAAACATTTAGCATAGAAATAGAAAATGTTCCTGTTTCCCAGTAATACACCTTATTCTTCGTTATCTTCAAAGCATTCTCACACGTATACCTCCTGATTAAATTTTGTCATCTGAGCTGTTAAAAGGATTTAACCTAAGAGGTAGGGCCCAAGGTATAGTTGATATAGATTGTGATTGAAAGCTACTCCGTTGTTTGCTGGGAAAGAAATGTCATTTATTTCATGAGATATATTCCAGTTGTACAGAACTTAGTGTTCTGTTCTGGAGTTTTTAATAACTAGTTCTTTACCTTTGGAAGGAAAAAAACCAAGCCTGATGTCTGCAGCACTGTGTTAGCAAATGGGCACATTTCCTTTCTTGAGCCTGACTGAACTTGATCTTGTACTGCCCCTCTTTTCTTCAATATATATTCCTTTAGCAGATGCTGTTCCCTGTTTGTCCAGTCTTTTTAAAAGTTTGTAACTCTTATTGTGCTTGATTGAAACAATCACTGAAGGATCTCAATAACAAGTGAGCATGTGTCACAACAAACGAAAGATACATCTTTGATTTCACTCTTCAAGACAGTGTAATTCCCACCACATCGACATGAGAGAGTATAACATTGTTCATCTGCCAAAAAAGAAAACAAAAAAACTTTTAGTGCTTGAGAAGAATCAGGAATTTATTCTGGATTTTCTTCACAAAGCTGCTCTTAAATGACCTCCCACTGCAAGACTAAGTAGCAGTAGCTGTGATTTAAACATTTGTTGCTCAAAAAATAACTATACTCTTAAAATGTTTCAGTGTTTGTGAGGCATTCTTACACTAAACATCCAGGGTCAGTGTAGTCTCTTTAAAAAAAATATCAAATAATAAAAAGATGCACAGCAGTGAAACAGAATTTTTTTTTTTTTTTAAAAAAAGAGGTGTTAGTCATACATATGACAGGTCCAGGCTAGTTTAAAATCAGACTGCTAACCCAGGAAACAAAAATAAAACAGAAGGGAGAGTAGATAGTATTTTCCCCTCACAGCTTAAAACAAATAAATTAGCCATTCATTCAGAAAGCAAGTAAATGACAAAAGCTAAAGTAATATAAAGCAGGGAAGTAACACAGTCAGAGGAAAAAAATCTGTATGAGATCACATTCTACCATTACAGAAAGAGCAAGAAAAGCATGATTTGAGAAGACTCTAGAAATCTAAATACTCAATTACACAACAAGAATAGAGCTAGGTACAAAGTGGTACTGCAAGTTGGGGGTAGGGAGAGGAGATGGAGGAAGAATGTAAAGTATCACAGATATATAAGTTCAAATTCAGGTGATCATAGAGAAAAGACTAGCTAAATCTGAGGAAAGTATATTAAAAAAAGTAGAACTTACAGTAAGACAACATAATGGTATACGATGCAGAAAAAATAGAAAACATTTGTAGTGCCAAAGGCAGTAGAAACTAATAGTAAGGTACTCATACCTTCAGTCCAGGACATATCCTCAAGACAAATTTGTGCATGTAGTGGCCATTCTTTTGTCAGATTACCTTCTATAAAGAAAACATGACAGATGTTCAACCCTGGTAACATACAGGTCCTTAATTAATAGTTTTATATACCCATCAGTCAATCTGGTCCCTACTAGAAAGTCATACCTACACCATGTTATCAGTTAAAAATGCAGTCCTCTAAAATTTTAGTTTCCATATCTCTGCATAAGCTAGAAAATATCCTACTGTAACCACAAGTAAATGGTTTAGTTGTATTACTGTAACCAGTACTTTTGCATATCCCAAAGAATTATGTAGAATTACAGGCAAACTTTTGTTTTATATAAATACCTTTTAAAAACTTAGCTGTGACTATACTTCCAGAAGCTGAAACTGAATGTTTGCTTACCTGTACTTTTTGCAAAATCACGGAACATTAAGGTCACCTACTCAACCCTCCAGCACAAGCAGTGTCAGCAAGAGCAGGCTGCCCAGCACCATGTCCTGTCAGATTTTAAATATCTCCACAGATGGAAACCCCACAATCTCTCTTAGGCAACCCATTCTCCTTTAGAAAGAACTTGCCAAATAAGCCCTCCTCAATAAGCACCAAATAAGCGTTAGGTTTGCATGAGAAGAATGCCAAGATTCCTGCAAAAAGATTTTCCTAGCAAAAGATAAATGAAAAATGCTTATAGCGGAAGACTAGTCCAAGTGTTCTTTTGTGATAGAATCTAAGCACAGAAGGAAGGTCAGTTCTGGCCTGCACCCACGTGATCTGTTGCTATTTGATCCCCTAGATTCTTCCAACATTAAGTACAGCATGGAATGAAAAATGTAGGATACAAATGAAATTATCAAATGCAAACTGCTCAATATCAATATAAATTGGTTTTTGCATTTTATCAGCACACTTGTATTTGATGTACAAAGTTCACATCAAGTTCTTCAACCTGACAATATAAGATTTTGTTAACAAAGTTACAAGTGAAGCCATAAAAGGTAATTAAAAAAAAGGACGTAAGCCTCTCAAGTTACTACACAAAACCTCGCATCTGCTGCCCAACACCTGGAAACTCCAGCTTCCCAAATACTGTATTTTAAAGAAGCAGAAATGCCTGGTAGCTGATCTTTAGCACATCCACAGCATTGCCTTAGATTTGCAAGACACAGGAGTTCAGTGCTTATTTAAGGTTTAAATCAGATGGTTATTGAGAAAGTAGGTGTTCCTTCTCTTGGATCAGTGAATTTTTAAGCAAGTTTTATAGTTTGATAACATCAAACTTTCTAGAGCATATACTGTTGTCTACAGCTTTCTATTAAAACTAAGTTGGCAGTGAAAGAATTAGTCCATAACTACTTACTGAGCACTTGACTTGCTGAAAAACTTAAGAGGCCCAGAGGATTTCCATTATTTCAATTCCCAAGAGATTGCCCTACCTACTCACTAGATTGTAGGATATTCTAGATAGTTCCCAGCTTCCTTCATGTAACCACTTTTTGCTCTGGACTGAAAAGTAGAAATAAGGGCCTTCACAGCTAACTTCTCCAATAATACCCCATAAAAACTGCACATCTCCAACCTTCATCTGATCAGATAATAGAGCACTTCCTTCTTTATCACCAAATGTCATCCTCTGATTGCAACCACCTTAGTCTTCTAAAGTTGATACCAGTATCAGTGAAGTAGTGACTTGGAGCAAACGTATTAGTTGACTTCACACATTAACTACATAAAGCAAGATATTCACAAGTAAGATTCCTAACTTACAGCAAAGCAGTGTAAGCTGTTGCAAAGAAGTTTAAGGCTACTATAAAAGTACAATCCCAGCAATAGCTAATCACAGCTTTCTCTATAGTTAATTATCTAAATTAGCTTCACAATATAACCAACCTGTTGTTTTGGGTTTTTTATTTCAATTGTTTTCCTTTCAGGGCTCAATCAGTTTAAAGAATAGACTATTATAGGTAGAAGTACTGTAATGTACCAGTAGTGAAATGAACCCCTTGCATTTTAACTGTCCTTAAGTATAAGTAGGGGCAAGGAAAACCTTAATTTTGGGGTTTTAAATAGGAAATTTAGGGCCAGTTTTAAAAAAACAAACAAAAACCCCCGCCCAATTCCCCCCCCCCCCTTATTGTCCCAGTCTTTATTTTGCAACTAAATGACTGTTCTACTGTTCTGATTTTAACTGAAATGTACATTATATATCCTAGAGAATGAGCGTCATCTAAATTAATTTTAATGAACGAGATTAAAACAAATTGGATATATTGGAAATGACAGAATCAATACAGCCTCTTTGACATTACCTTTTCTGAACACCTATTTTGTAATGAAAAGGTCAGAATGAAAAGAAAATTAACCCATTCACACCTAATACTTCACAGCTGTCAAAAGAAAGAGAAGAAAAATTGGCAGGCCTGTAATGATGAAAGAAAACTGAGATCAAGATAGATATACCTATCAATCATTCTCGTTGTGTATGCTCTCAATTACATAAACAAGAGCTAAGGGTAACGTTTTAGTTATAGGAAGTAAAACCATTTTTCTTAACACCCGATCAGAACATTAGCTGCATGAAAGGTCCAAAATACAGTAAGAGGTCAGAAGGTTTTAACTCATGCCAAATAACTAATGTTACTTGGAGTTATTCTGATACAGCCTTCTAGTTACAAAACACGATGAGAACAGGAACAGTGAATGTCCTGAAAACAGCAGAGGCCTTTCCTCCAGAAAGCAGAGATCAAAATGAAGTCTGTCTATCTACCTACCTTCAGGTTCTTCTCTCCACTGTGGTAAAAGACGACAATACTTTCATACTGTCCTCACAGTTATAAAGGCAATCGCTTCCTATTTCACCTGCCTTTTTTTTTTTTTTAATACTGGGAAGAAAAATTCATGAAATAAAATGTTCTCTTTGGTTGTAGGAACAATTTCCTAACCTTTGCTTATAGGTTGCAAGAAATTGAGTTAAAGAGAAACCAGACTTTCCTGTTTAGAATTCATGAGGCAGGATTTCACTCAGAAAAAGTTTTATAGGATTGGAGGTGGCGGTCTGGATCATGCAGACAAATACAAAAAGGGCAGATGGACCATATGCCACCATGAAGGGCACTGATAAGATGCAAATTCACAGGGTTAACACACTTCCTGAAGTAATGTTACTCAAGAATCATAGAATCATTTCAGTTGGAAAAGACCCTTGAGTACAAGTTAAAGTAATGAAGAGGAAGTAATAAAGAAGGAATGAAGAGGAAGGCTGAGGAAAGGTCCACCTTCTATTACAAACATAGCATATTATGAAGCCCAGGGAACAGAATTTCAAGGAAGCACTCAATCTCACTGTCCAGATCTCCAACAGCACTGGTCCCAACACCAACCACTGAGGAAAACCACCCGTGACCACTCTTTACTTGGACATCAAACAGTTGACAGCAACTCTTCGAGTGCGACCATCCAGCCAATTCCTTATCCACCAAGTGGTCCATCCATCAAATGCATGTCTCCAATTTAGAGACAAGGATGTCATGCAGGACAATGTCAAATGCTTTGCACAACTCCAGCTAGATGACATCAGTTGCTCTTTCTTTATCCACCAGTGCTGTAACCCTGTCACAGAAGCCCACCAAATTTGTCAGGCATGATTTGCCCTTAGTGAAGCCATGTTGGCTCTCACCAATCACCTCCTTATTTTCTACGTGCCCCAGCATAGTTTCCAGTAGGATCCAGTCCATGATCTTGCTGGGGACAGAGGAGAGGCTGACTGGCCTGTAGTTCCCCAGGTCTTCCTTTTTCCCCTTTTCCAGTCAGTGGGAATTTCACTGAACTGCTACAACTTCTCAAATACAATAGATAGTGGTTTTGCCACTTCATCCACCAGTTCCCTCAAGACCCACAAATTCATCTCATCAGGTCTCATGGGCTTGTGCACCTTCAGGTTCCTTAGATGGTCTCAAACCTGATCTTCTCCTACAGTGGACAGTACAGTGGACAGTTTTTCTTCCCGTCCCTGCCTTTGCCTTCTGCATCCTGGGCAGTGGTATGGCTGGAGCACTTGCCAGTGAAGACTTAAGAAAAAAAGAGTCACTGAGAACCTCAGCCTTCTCCATATTCTGGGTAACCAGGTCTCCTGTTTACTTCTGGACATGTCCCATGCTGTCCCTAATCTTTTTATCACCAATGTACCTATAGAAGCTTTTCTTGTTGTCCTTGATGTCCCCGGCCAGATTTAATTCTATCAGGGCTTTGGCCTTCCTAATCTGATCCCTGGCTGCTCAGACAATTTCTCTGTATTCCTCCCAGACTATCTGTCCTTGCTGCCATCCTCTGTAGGCTTCCTCCTCGCCGCCCCAAGGATCTGAAACTCTACCATTTCATGGTCACAGCAGCCAAGGCTGCCCTTGAGTTTCACACTCCCCACCAGCCCCTCCTTGTTGGTGAGAACAAAGTCCAGCATAGCACCTCTCCTCATTGGCTCCGCTATCACTTGGAGAAGTAAGTTATCATCAGTGCATTCCAGGAACCTCCTGGACTGCTTGTGCCCAGCAGTGTTGTCCCTCCAACAGATATCCAGGTGGCTGAAGTCCCCCATGAAGACCAGGGTTTGTGAATGTGAGGCTGCTGCTACCTGTCTGTAGAGGGCCTCATTCACTTGGTGTTCCTGGTTGGGTGGCCTGTAGCAGACCCCCCACTGCAACAGCTCCTGTCCCTGCTTTCCCTTCAATCCTGACCCATAAGCTCTGGCTCAGCTCCTCATCCATCCCCAGGCAGAGCTCCCTGCACTCCAGCTGGTCGCTGACATAGAGTGACAACCACCCCCCCCCGCCGCCCATCATCTCCCCTGCCTGTCCTTCCATTCCAACACTCCAGTCATAGGAGCCATCCCACCACGTGTCCACGATGCCGGTGAGTTCGTAGCCCTGCAGGCACGTGCACGTCTCTAGCTCCTCTTGTTTATTCCCCATTCTACATGTGTTTGCAGAGAGGCATTTAAGTTGGACCCCCATAAAGTTGACTCTGGCTGGAATTCCTCTGTGCTGCTCTTCGGGTGCTCTCC